ATGGTTGACTGCATTAATGGCTTTGAACTAGTTTGATTTGGATGTAAGAAGAACAGCTCAAGCAGCTAATCACAAAATGTCGAAAGTTACCATGTTACTAGGACATAGGTAAATTGCACAGAAACGGTCACTTTAACCAACAATAGTTAACTCAAGAAAAATTCGAAAGATTTAGAAAATCCAAACGAGGAAAACGGTGTGTACAAAGCACATGTATGCATCAACTTAAAGAAACACCAACTAGTGAAAGCTGAGGAAAGAATCGTGCAAAAGAATATTTCACAAACCCAAATAGTATTAAAAGCGTCAAATGTGAGCTGAAGTCTAACTTCTGGCACGAAAAACACAACAGAAATGTAGTATCTCAATACATGAAAAAATTTACTTGCTGTTCTCAGATCGCGGGTTTTTTTAATTAAAGTAGAGATCACTGAATCCAACTTAGCCTGCAGTGGATGTAATGTTTAGACTGACTGATAAGTGCTTATGATAAACTGCGAAATCCATACCATTAACTGTGAACTCATCAGCTTGCGACAGTTACCAGATCAGAAAGTTATGTTGAACATAGCACGCAGACAAAAAGGTCTCGGTGGTTTCAAAGGTTATGCATATTGTTACGCTCTACTGATTAAGCAAAACAATAAATTTGCTTACGAGAAAACAAACTGTTACTAACTTCGTTACTTCTTCAGGGTTGGCAGAATGACACTGAATCATAACCAAACGGTTGACCACACACCACTGCTGAATATGGGTATAAGGCGTCTCCCGGTCGTATGCTGTAAGGAGATTGTATATGACCCGATAAGTTATTATGCAACCTTTGCACTAGTTGAAACCTTCATTTCAGCGGCTAGACAAACCATTCTCTAACCACTGACTACACAAGGTTCATGAACACAATGAAGCAATTAGCAGAAATCTCATTGACTTTTAGGACCACTGACTGCTTTGTTATTCCGCTACAGTTAATGAACAACGTCAACCACAGCCAAAATGCAAGTGAAAAGTAATGCCTAAAGATAAGTACTAACCAGAGGAAGGGTATTACAGTAAAACAAGTTAGCAGTTACAATGAGCAATATTCTTTGAGACCTGCCTTTGAAAACTGATTACTGGAAGTTAAATGATTGATGAGAAGTAATGAAGTTCAATGAAAGCTAGTGTGAAATTTATAGTTGACAGTACTGTTCAAACTCCGCTGTCATGGTCTACTCTTTTTATCTGTTGTCGAAAAATATATAACGCTTCCAAATAATGAGAAATAATGTATTTGTAGAATCTTAGGGAATGAATTTTGAAGCAAACCCAACCTTTTACCTGGTAATCTGGTCCATGCATTTTCAAGGAAACATGATCGAAAATCAGAACTGTCAAGTATTCAATGTCTCACATCAACTCGTCGCCCGAATATTGTGAAATTATTTGATCAAATTTAAACGAAAGTTCCTGTATATTTTCTTAACAAAACTTCGTATTTCAAGGGATAACTTGACCACCAAATTATAGTAAGATTCATTAGACTGTATAACTTAAGAGTTAGATTACGTACATCAGTCATTGACAGTAGTTCAGAAAGCCATAGTTGATAAGGGTTTTTGATGAAATGAAACAGATTACACCGACATAGTCTTTGATCACACACTGAACGGAGAATAAGTGACAACTGTTTGTACAGAAAGATCGTCACCAGTATATTTTCGATCAACCATCGAGCATTGGAGATGACTGCTAAAAATAAGTTATGCAGCACATGAATGATTGTAATATCAGATAATTAAAATAACCCATAGTGTCATTGAATAAGAAAAGAGAATTCAGTGAAGAAAATTTTCTTTTCGACGAAATCATTTACTTAAGCTGTACATTCGTATATATAATTATATGGAAAATGTATGTCTATAGAAGGATAGAAAGGATTGTATCACAAAAAACAGATTCGACAATAAATAACAAATGAGGTTAACGTACTAATCAAGGGGTAAGGAAGAACAAAATTTAAGGGTCAGGTAATAGTCCAATTGACAGATTGACAGATATGAAGAAAAACGACAAAACAACAAAGGTCATAATAATAAACTGAATGATAATCAAGAAAACTTGTAAAAGGTAATAATAATAAATGATTAGAGTTTAAAGTGCAAAATAGTAATTTAAAATATGGATAATAATAAAAGTGCATTTTAAAAAAACCACCTAGCAACATACCCATTAGGGCCAAGGAAGGATAAGAGGTTGGACAAATCGTTTCTGCACGCAAAGTTCAGGCTTTAGTTTGTGGATTGCCAATGCCTCTGCGGTGCATAAAATATTGATTCGAACCCCCTTCGATCCAGTTCCTTTGACTCTGTAAACTATTTTAAACGAAGAGTCTTTTGGAGCGATATGTCCACAGTTGATTAAGTGCTCCTGAATAGAACTCGTGATTGTTTTTCGCTCCCCTTTCAAAAGCCAAGCCGGATAATGTTCCGAGATGCGTTTGGATAATGATCGCTTTGTGCGGCCTATGTAACATGCCCCACATGAGCAAGTAAATTTATAGATACACATTGAAGTGGCCCAAAGCAAAAGTTTGTCCTTTAAACACCCCAGAATGGTAGGTCGGCTAGAGAAGATGATTCGAAGTTTAGCTGCGTGGAATGTTTTATTCATTGATTTCGAAATCCGTGATAAAGCATTGACAGTAGAGAAAAAAACTCTATTTATGAATATGGAATTTAAGGGAGATACAGCTGCTGAAATCCTAAATAAACGGATCGGAGGGGGTTCGAATCAATATTTTATGCACCGCAGAGGCATTGGCAATCCACAAACTAAAGCCTGAACTTTGCGTGCAGAAACGATTTGTCCAACCTCTTATCCTTCCTTGGCCCTAATGGGTATGTTGCTAGGTGGTTTTTTTAAAATGCACTTTTATTATTATCCATATTTTAAATTACTATTTTGCACTTTAAACTCTAATCATTTATTATTATTACCTTTTACAAGTTTTCTTGATTATCATTCAGTTTATTATTATGACCTTTGTTGTTTTGTCGTTTTTCTTCATATCTGTCAATCTGTCAATTGGACTATTATCTGACCCTTAAATTTTGTTCTTCCTTACCCCTTGATTAGTACGTTAACCTCATTTGTTATTTATTGTCGAATCTGTTTTTTGTGATACAATCCTTTCTATCCTTCTATAGACATACATTTTCCATATAACTATATATACGAACGTACAGCTTAAGTAAATGATTTCGTCGAAAAGAAAATTTTCTTCACTGAATTCTCTTTTTCTTATTGTAATGTCAATTGAAGATGGATATAATTGTATCAAATGCTCCATTTAATTCATCAGCTTCCGTCTGACAGGCATTTTTAGTTTGAGGTGAAAGCGTCGCAGTTTTAATCTGTATAGGACTGGACAAGTAAAAGAGCTGACACTTCAAAGTACCCTCTACGTCCTTTCAAAACTGTTATGCGGATAGTGGAAAAATGATGTGCTTGGAAATCCATTTTTGGGCATTCCACCCTAGTGAAGGGCGTTGTTTTTATATTTCGAATCCACTGAGACTTGTAATCAAAAGCTGGTCGTTTAGTTTGCGATCGAATGTTTTCCTCCTAGGTTTATAAAGTTCTATTTTGAAACCATTTATGAATGGATGACGAAAAATAGCTTACCTTCTTTTCACAAATGTTCGGCCATGGATTAAGTTGGATGGAAAATGGACTGAAGAGAATTTTGTATTTGTTCAATTGTGAAAACATGAAAATAGAAGACTAGAGGGCTGCTATTAAACGCAACTCAATTTTGTAAATGTGGCCTTCAGCTAAGCAGCCAATCAGAGTGAGGCGGGATTTATTATATCTGCCATCTTTGTAGGCAATGGCGGTCGGCTTTCTTCGTTCTGTGCTTTGTTCAGCTATTTCTTTTGTGTAGCTATGTAATTTAATTTTACCGTGTGCTGAAATGCCGCAGTTAGTGTAATGTTCTATATGTTGGTGTGAAATTTATTTCGAATCAGCATTGTTTTTGATGTTTTGCTGCTTCTGCTCAAGTTAATGTATTTTTTTCAGCCAAGCTGGCTAGTCTTATGTTTTAAAATGGCAATCGGTTTTGTTTTGACTTGTTTTCTAGATATCCAAAGCCGAAGTTTGTTTTTTTGCTGAAATAATTGTTGCTGCCGCCTGTGACTAACTGTCCGCATGTTCGTTCCTAACTGCCCTTTATGATGTTATCGGCAAAATGAAACGAGCAAAATTAACAACATAATCTAGTTATTTAATTAAAAATACATTATGGAATGACAAAACTTGTGGTTACTTGAATGCACATATGACCGTTATTACACTGGGCGATACATTAAGTTTACACGGTTGCGTTGCGGATAAATTCACCCGACTAGAGCGTGCTTATTGCGTAGTTTTCCCAGATTGAGTAATTGAGCTTGTATTTTCAGATAGTTTAATTACTTGAACTGATGACGTCAGCATTATCTCTAAACATCTGCTTAAGAGTCGAGAATAGATACAATAGAAACCATAATGACTTCACCTCACCCTGGTAGTTTCGTGAATGCAATCAAAAATTTGCATGGACAAAGCAGTTATAAACAAGTATGTGAAACTGAATACGATGTTTTGAAGAACAAGGGAGATGGAAAACTACATTATAACATCAAACAGTAGTCGCTTTTCATGAAATTCTGTCTTTAGTATGGGAAATGACCAGTTTATTTAGTTTGTGGTTATATCATGACAGTTATTACCAAAACGTTTTTTATGAAACAGAAACTTTCCGATAAGCCTTTTCATCTGACTCACGCAAATATTTTATTCATTTTTAGGGTTATGATGCTTTTAACAATTGAACATTGTACTCCACGTTAAACCCAGGTTGTTGTAGGGTTGATCCTAAATGTACAAAAAACAAAGTTCTTTATAATCGAAGAAATATAACACATAGAATTTCCAATATTCTATTTTGCCTGACTGTCAAACAACGTTTTAATAATTGGTTGTGCGAAATCACCTCCTGTTCAATTGCTCTTTCAACAATTGACCATTCAAATTTGACCTCGAATTGTCTCTTGAACACGAGGATATAGAACATGATATTCGGCAACAAGGTTGCGACTGCGTCATTTGACCAGCTGGCACCAGGTGGTAGGTTTATGCGTATCGGTTGTTGGGGTTCTTTTTAAGAAGCTGGAAAGATGTAGAATTTGAGCTTTTTGTTTCATACGAAGTTATATATTGCTTAATTACTGTTTTGTCAAATTGTATTCCGGATTTCTGTATAAAATTATACTGTTTGATCTTGAACTTTCTTGTGAGCCGCGCATCCTTTTAAAATGCATTGTTATCAACCTCTCTACTCTAAAATGCTAGTCTGCTCACATTTTTCAAGCAAGCGTATTCGTTTTAGGTATTTGTGTTAGTATCGTCTTCGTGACAAGTAATGCCCACTAGTGTTCTGTTCTTACTCATTTCTACTCATCCAAGGATTTAGATTCGCTCTAACGGCATAATTCCGAATGCGCCGTCCCACAATCATCAAATGTGTTGTTTCTCATAAACTTTTCGGGATGTTTAAGTTGCTGGTTACATCGAGGGCTTTTGTGGGGAATGGATAAACAACTAGGCCCACGATCTACGTAACAAAAACTCAATAGAAAGCTTGTTGAGTAAGACTTTACGTTGGACGTAACTGACCGTCAATCTCCTATTGCTTATCAAATTAATTTTAAAAGCTCTGAGACATTATCAATATGTCTTTTCGTTTTTAGCTGAAAAAATAGCTAGGTCACAATAACCTCGTTGCCTAACGTATATTTTTCAAGAATATTTACGGAGCTGTGTATCTTGCCGCTTGCCAAACAAATAATGAGAACTCATCAATCTTATTATCCAGAATCCTTTACTTAGCTCCTAGTTCCATACTTGCTAGTATGATGACTGACCAGGTCATAATAACTGAAATTTCAATGGCTTTCAATTTTAAAGAGTTTGTGGATTATAGGACCTCCAGAAAATTAATAAATCTCTCGGTTGACGTGGGTTGTTTGGATAAAAACATCAATTACTCTGAATGTATCATTACTGGTCTTTATATTTGCAAACAAAATTTAGTGCTGCGTAAGCATCAACAGTGGTTCGTGTCACCCTGTTCACAATTACCGTAGTGTTGCCCACATAACACTACTACTACTGCTTAAGCGTCAGTCAGCTACAACGTAGGATCAGGCACATATATGCATCGGTCCAAGTTGCCACATTTCATTAGCACAACAAGATGAACACCAAATTCATAGTAGTTAATTAGTTGGTAGAAAAAAGATATAACGCAGTTTTAATCTGATAGTTTGAGAGTGTATACACCTACGCCATTGTGATCGATTCTGAGCCATGTCACCTAGAGTCTCCAACCATTGGTTACGACAGTCACGCGGACCCCAACTAGGTAGTCTGCATATACCAACATGACTCAGACTAGAAGTTAGTGACTTCAAGGACTGATTCCACGTTTTGGTTTGGCCGCCCCTAACTTTCTTCAAACCGTCTCCAACACTAGTCTTCATTGCGCGTTGTGGTAAACGGCGTTCAGGCATACTTAACACGTGGCTCAACTATCTCAGTCGGTGAAGATTCACAACCTAATCAACTGATTTACCATCATTCCCTAATACCTTGCTTCTAAACTCACTATTACTTACCCGGTGATCCCAGCAGACGCCAGCAATATTTCTAAGGCATCTCTGGTCAAATACTAGTAGCTTACGAGTGTCCTCTACTCTCAATGGCTTAAGGTTAGATATCAATGATTACTGATCACCAAATATTACCATATATGTTGATTATGTATCCCTGCCAAAATCTGTCGTGATTCATCATATCAGTCTTTAAGCTCATGCAGATGCAAAATGTGATGAATGTCTTTTTATGCCCACATTTTAAGTTTTCCCATATATTAAAAGCTGTGGCCAATCTTAATCAAAAATCAAGCTAGAAAAACAACCCACTGAAGTATGTAATGAGATTGTAATATCGGGTTGTGGATCAGACCGTCAAAATTAGTCACTGAAAATAAAACCAGATTACTCTGTCCCGGTTTCGCTGCCAGTGTTATATATAAATCTAAGAGCGGACCTAATAAGATAAGACATTGAATTCATATGGACAGGAACAGTTTTCCCGAAACTTATTTTATCATATGTTTGCATGACTTTATTTTATTCTCTAATTTATAACAAATTTCTCTATTTGCAGGAATTAGGATTATATATAATCAGCCACAACATACGATTCTAAGCGACCACAAAAACATTCCCCAAGAAGGTAAGTACATATTTGCACTTTTTACCATAAATTTCCCACCGTCAGGAACTAGGTTGTTTATTTTTATCTTATTTGGGAAATAAAAAATCAGTTGAATAGTTGCTAAATTCCAAACAATCGAACATTTGGGTTCTTTATTCTGGACGCCTAAAAAGGCAGTATTTTGTCTGCAAAAAATCATCTGTAAATTACTTAATACTACATTTACTTGGTCTGTGTTTTTTTAAGTCGTGTTCGCTATGAATAGCCTATCATTTTTTATAAGTCTCCATAAACTGCTAACTCAATCGGTTGAGTTCAATATCTCTAATGTGGTTAATATGTGACTTGATTGAATTACTGCTTTTAAACGTTTTCATAACTACAATCATGGCTAACTAAGTTGGGTTTAAGAGAGAACTTTTTTCTAAATAGTTTACATATAATCCTGATTTCTTCTGTACATTTTGAGTTTTCTAAATGCTGAGGTCAGTCAGACATAAGCAGCGTAGAACCTGGAGCATATGTGGATCAGCCCAGGTTATCACATTACTCTAGTACAGTAAGATGGAGTTGTAAAGATATCTCAGGGTAGTAAATGTGATAGTACATACCTATATAACTTCCAAGATAAGTAAACTAGTCGACGCACTTAATACCGAACATGCGTTACATATATCGAAAGAGCTAAACAATAATTTTTAAACGACCTTTCATTTATAGTTGGCTCTTATTTGATAAATGGCACTAGTATATATTGTCTAGGTATTATTACTTATTTGAACACAAATATTGGTACAAAGGGGCACCGAATACATATGCGACACACACGTCACTTGACTTGTGTGTGGGCTGTGATACTACCCTGGCGCCCAGACCGGAGCAGGTGGTTTCCTTAGGTGGTCACACCCCGAGCCTTTGACTTGGTCTGACTCACAAGGCAGTGGAGCAACGTCAGGAGCTGTAATTCCATGATAGCCATCAGGATCGTGGTCTCCATGTGCGCCACTGGTTTGGAATCAGGGTTTTCCAGCTCCCGTAGGTGAACCATACGTGTCCACCGACCCGGTGAAAGAAATGGACACTATATTCTCCCACTCAATTTCGTAAAATAACACGAGAAAGCAGTGAGTAGGATATCACTGGCATTGGTTGTATACTGGTGGACATATGAGAGCATCTTCAGAGGGGAAGCAAACTCACCTAACACTCGATCCCAACCTTAGCTGCTACATTGACGTTCTGGTCAGGCTCGCCTATCGTGATGAACCAACCGAGCAATATTAGCTGGAACATATGTTCCCGTAGGTTCTACCATACCAGGCAGGTCGATTGGAGAACGGTAAAACTAAAAGCAGCAACTCAAGGTCTGAGGGCGAAGTCGTACTGCTGACTGTAGAGGGATCTCACAGCAGTAAGGCATTTCCCTCGGACAACCAGCATCTGCGGCGACGCTGCACCCTCACAAGGAAAGGAGGGATTAGGAAAGGTCAACTCTAAAAATGTCACACCTCACTTTAACTCACGGAGGGAGCTAACACGAAAACTACTCACAGAAAGGTCGCATGTGATCAACCTCAAGCAGTTGTCCCTTGGGCACCGTGGTCATGCTCTAAGGTAATTAATATAACCTTAAACCCAATTTCCTTAACAGGTACCTCCAGAAGAACCCTTTCCACAGTGTGGGCAACCGGGAAGTGACATCAGCTCTCATACACGTAACAACACACGACACCAAGTTGGTCGTAATCAAATCCTTCTGACACTTTCTAACAACTCTCTTATCTCCACGAATAAGCATTCTCACGTTCTTTTATCACCTCGCGCCGCTAATGCAAACGATTCGAGTACGCTGAACGTTAATCCCGGTCTCCTAAAACCACGCTCTCAACTACATATAGGAGCTTTTAACGTCCGAACAATATGCCAAATAGGATAACAGACTTACTTAGCTAGAACTTTAGAATCTCGCGCCATCGATGTATGCTGCGTCTTTGAAACACGCATACAGGATCCTAGTGTGGTCATTCACCTGACCTCATCTCGTCGAAACGGAGATCCGACGAGATACACCCTCCGTGTATCTGGCAACCGATGGCTAGTTCTCCTGGACTGGTAAGTGTAGGCATAGCACTAAGTACGAGGGCAGAATAAGCACTGTTAGAGTGGATCTTCATTAACAGTCGTCTATGTGCTTTTCGGCTAAACGGCTCCGTAAAAACTCGGAAGGATAGGGACACACGTCGTTGCCTTCTTGTCGTTTATGCCCAAGCTCCCACTGACTGCAGTCCGGATGAAGTAAAAGATGACTTTTACAGAAAGCTAAACGCTCAGACATAGTACTTGTAGCAGGTGACTTTAATGCCCAGTTAGGTAGCTTAAACCAAGCAGAAAGACATTTAGGTAGGTATTTTAGTATTCCGGCTCAGCGAACAGATAATAGTGATCGGATGCTGTAACTCTGCTCAGACGATCCTTTACTTTTAGCAAGCACTAATTCTAAGCACAAGGAGAGACATCGTCTAACATGGCCACCCCCTGCACCAAACCAACGATAGACTCAAATAGACCATCCTGCCATCAGTCATCGTTGGAGATGGTCGATAGAAGATTGTCGCTCATTTTGGACTCCGGTCATGCTTATACAAGCACGCATTTGCTTATGCTTCACTGGACGCAGAAAAACCACATTAAAAAGAACCATTAGATGTGAAGTCAGTGACGAGAAAGCTAAAAGTAGATTCCAGGAACAACTGAGGTCATACTTAGGTAGTTCTGAAAACGAGGCTGACCCAGATGTTCCTTGGACACATATACAAAAAACTTTGGAATAGCAGCAACATCTATTAGTGATTTAAACCAAAGGATTACGAAAAACCAACGGATATTTACTAAGTCTATTGCATTGATGGGTTATCGTAAACTCATCCCATCAGGCTCTGAACACGGTTAAGAAAAAAAACATGTCAGATCTAGGTTAAGCAAAAGTCTAAGGAACGACCGTGAGCAGTGATGGGCAACGAAAGCAAAAGAGATGGAAAAGGCGGCGGCTGTAGGTATCACAAGACAGCTTTACAGACTAATAAAAGAAACTAAAATTAATAAGTCAAGTGTAAGTTAGACTATCTCGGAAAAAGACGACACTCATGTGCTCCCAGTCCAGACATTTAGACCGATGGATGGAACACTTTTCGGAGCAGTTCAGCTGGCATTCAGCTACTCTACAACTACCCACCATCCCCAAACAGTGTGAATGGAACATTGAAGTAGGTCCCCCGAATCTATCTGAAGTCCCAAAGGCTATAGTTAATCTGAAACGAGGAGGAGCAACTGGTCCAGATGGATTGGCTCCAGGGGTCTTTAAGGATGGTGGTCCAGTTTCAACAATTAGGTTGGTTAATGTTTTAGCTAAAATCTGGGAGTTGGATGTAATCCTATCTGATTGGTCACAATTACTTATCGTCCCAATATATAAGAGAGGGTCAATATCATCCTGTGACAACCATAGAGGGATTAGTTTAACCAGTATATCATCTAAAATACTAACCTCAATAATTATCGGACGCCTAACTAAGACTCGTGTACTGCAAACACGGGAAAATCAGGCTAACTTCAGACCTGGTCGTAGCTGCATCGACCACATATTCACCATTCATCAGGTTCTAGAACACAGGCATGCTTATCGGCGTCCGACAATGGTGGTCTTTCTTGACTTTTAAGCAGCATATGACTCTGTAGACTAAGAGGTTCTGTGGCAGTGTCTGTCATTGAAAGGCGTATTTCAGAAGTACATAAACCCTGTGAAGGCTGTTTACTTGAACACTACTAGTCGAGTCAGAGCTCATGGCGAACTGTCATCTGATTATGCAACCTCAAATGGTGTCCGTCAAGGCTGTCCACTTTCTCTATGTTTGTTCAACTTACTGATGGGAATAACGCTCCCGTCGACTGGATTATTAGGAATTGATCTCTTTCCAGGAGGGCCACTAAATCGACTTAGAATACACAGATGATATAGTTCTGTATAGTAAAAACACTGATAAAATGCAGTCTTTTGGTAACACTGAGCAACCATGCCAGCATGTTTGGGATGCGCTTCTCTCCCTCTAAATGCAAGCTGTTGCTTCCAGACTGACCTGTGTCAGCACCTGGGCTATGGATAGGGAGTGGAGTAGTCGAGCGCGTTGACAACTTCACTTATCTTGGTAGTCTGATCAATCGTAACGAGTTGGTGTCTGTCGAAATCTCTGCACGGACTCAGAAAGCTCGCTTGGCTTTTACCAACTTACGTGACCTGTGGCGAAGGCGAGATATCCGTCTATCAATTAAGGGACGAGTATACTGCGCAGCAGTTCGATATATTTTACTTTACGATGGCGGAACTTGGCCATTAGGAGTAGAAGATGCTCGTAAGCTACTAGTATTCGACCACAGATGCCTTCGAAATATTGCTCGCATTTGCTGGGATCACCACGCTAAACCTACTGGACCACTGAACCGGCATCCAATGGTGTTAATATCTAACATCAGCCAGCCAATCCACGAAATTGTGCGACCATCTTCCCCTGTACTGAGGTAGTTACCTGTCTCTACCCGACACAGATTAGCTCCACTGGTCACGGATTCTCACGGGAACTCCGAGAATTCCTTCACGAAGCTAGTCACTAGTGAGCACATGTTAATTATCAGTATGAGGGGTTGTGGAGATTATTAAGTTTTTGATTGAGATCATGAACCGATTGATGTTAGACCACCGTTGTTGCTGACTGGCCACCCTCGGCCGTACCAGGACATTTGGGGGGCAGTAAGTGCAGTGCATTAAGTGGTATAATCTGGAAAGTTTGGTACGGTACATTCAATTGACAGATGCCTTGATATATATGAAGAACTGTAGAGTATCGAACAAAGTGGATGGGAAAATGTTTTACGTAAAAATACAGCCGTTTAGTAGGAATGAGCTCTAATAGCTTTATTTTTTACTTTCGACGTTTAGAGTTAATGAAACTATATCAGGATTAGCA